TCCTTCTGTTGCTGTTTCACTTGCAGAAGGCTTTCTTGTGGCCTATCATGTCCATTGCTAGGTTCAATTCCAGCCGAGCTTTGACTTTCCTAATTTCATGCTTGCATGCTTGGGCACCATTGCGCTGGTCCTGTTGGGTAGACCATCCCTACTTACACCTCCGTGCACTCCATCTTTGCATTTGAGGCCAGTCAGGAATTCCCTGCTTAACCCTGCTGCCCTCCTGCCAGGCCTGCTCAACTGGTCTGATCATTCCGCCTTGCTTCAGAGAGGTTGTCCTTGAAATTCAGCCAGCTTCCCCAAGCCCCTTTGTCCTTCAGGGAGCACCACTGTCCCATAGGATCCTTCCGGGCAGGTCCCTGAACAAGCCCAAACCTGCTTTCCTGAAGTCCAGGTCTTGCACACCTTTCTCAGGATTGCAAACTCTGCCAACTCATGCTTGCTGCAGCCAGGGCTGCCTTTAACCTTCACATCCCCAACCAGTTCTTCCTCCTTTGTGAGTGACAGGTCCAGCAGCGCACCTCGCCTTGTTGGCTCGTTGATCCCCTGCGTCAAGAAATTGTCATCAGTCCAATCCAGGAATCTCTTGTCGTGCTTGTGCCCAGGGCTCCTGCCCTCAGAGTGGATGTCAGGGTGGTTAAAGTTTCCCCATGAGTATGAGGGCCTGCAATCATGGGGCTTCCTCCAGATATCTAAGACAGGCTTTGTCTCCTTCTTGATCGAGTGGTTTGTAGGAGATGCCCCTTGCAGTATCATCTGTTCCAGTGCAACTCTCAGCATTTGGATGAAGCGTTCCCTAGCGTGCAGCCTGTTGTCATTGCCTTCCAAGCTGTTGCACTGTGCCAGTCATAGAAGCTATTCCGTGATGTTTTTCATATCTTAGAGAGTGTAGTGTTGCAGCTTTTCACTAGTTTCTGATTCTGTCTGTTTCAGCAGCTTTGCACATTGGTTTACAGACACACGTGGTGGGGCCCCCACATTGTGCTGCTTTTACAAGGAAATTGGGAGAGCCTCTCCCATGATGCTACTCCCTGCACACTGTCCTTGCTAATCCCACTCCTATAATTTCCCATTCTTTTGTCACCATCGATAAAAAAAATCTGTGGAAATCAAGGATAAAAATGCATAATTCAATAATAATCTATTCCTGTTAATTTTTAAAAGTTTGAAACATTTGAATTTTCACAATAGGAAAAAAAAGACCCCCAGCCTCTAGAAAGACTCTATCTTACTAATGTTAATAATAATCTATTCCAGTTATCCATATAATTCTAAGATAAGGTTTAACATACATGCTTCAAAACCTCAGATGATGAGATGCTGCTGCTAGGTGCTTTTTGTAGTTTGTTGAAATAGATAAAGGCCAGAATGGAGAATTCACGTTTTGAAATACTCTTTACACATTTGTAGTTAGAATTTTTGTAGAAGAAGACAGGAGACTAGCACGGAGCTATGAACTTTTCTGTTAGGGCATACCATGCCAGAAGAAGGAATTGGGCAGGCTGCATAGATCCTTATCAAATAAACACCAAGATAACTGGGGTTCCGTTACCTGTGAGGAAAACTGCATTACATACTGGCTGGAGTACCTTTATCTCTTTGAGCTAAGTTGTTCCAGAAACAAAATTCTTCATTGTAATGTGATACTGCTGGGGCTCCCCTTTAATTTTCCTCTCACTCTTGAGGGGAAATTGGGAAACAGTATGAAATTGGAACATTATCATGCCCCCAAAAGATTATTCCAATAGTAGAGCGAGAAAGCAAAAGACTGTAAGAGCAACCAAAACTGGCCTGAGTAGACCTTTGATCTAGCCCAGTGTCCTGTCTTCACTGTGACCGTAACACATACCTAGAGAAGAGTACAAACACAGGCAACTACAATTCTTCTCCCAAATACTCTCCTAACCTGCAGCCATTTGCAGTTCAAGGAATTATATGCAGTATTATCTTTGTGGGCTGATTTTAAAGTGTTTATGCTTTCTTAACATCTTACCATGTATAACATCCAGTTTGGTTATAGGAATGGAATAGGAAATACCTTTTGACATGCATGTGGTAAGAGATGTAAAAGTGTGGAATAGAAATATTTACTGAAGATTACTGCTGTTTTACAAACTTATTAGGTAATTTCATTATTCAGTGCCCTGTGAACCAGCTGGAAAGGTTGTATGACAGCTGTACTATATGCTTTATCTTGAGGGCTGTGTAGGCCAGCTCCTTGCTTCATCCTGTGCCTGGGAGTTCACAAACTGACTGTGCTGGAACTTGGAGTTAAAAGACCGAAACTATGTTCTAGGTCCAGAATTTTTAATTAACTGCAGTATAGCATGATTAATTTCCTCTGTGTGGAAGGAGCTGAGGAATCTTTTCTTCTGTGTGGGACAGGATAAAAGCATTGGGGTATTTTGTTGGGTCCAAAGATTTGTATTCACTGTGGGGAGGAAGTACTGCCTAGCTGTCTTTATTCTGCAAGCTGTCTGGCAACTCCTTGATGTTTCCAGGGCAATGCTTGCTCTTCGTGCTTTGCTCTTAAAAATGTTCATGTTCTTCTATTCTGCTGATACTAAGACTGTGAAAGAATACCAGCAGTTAAAAATATAGAGGTTCAGCTAAAGCTGAACAGAGTTTTTGGGTCCATGGTTTCTGCTTCTCCAAAGTGTCAGTTCTGCTGACAGGCATTCTAGCATCTCAAAACAAACAAACAAATAGATAAGGTTGGAAAAGACATTTATTGATACTCTTGATCAATCTAAATACAGAAGGGAGGAATTGTTCCTTTTCAGGCTGGAAAAGAAAAATATTAAGAAAGAGATAACAAAAAAACCTGTAAAATGTATAAGCAATATGGAGAAGGTGCATAGGCAATGCCTGCCCGCTGCTGCTCCAGCTATGCAAGAAGATGGCATCAAATGAAGCTAATAGATGGCAGGTTCAAAATGAGCAGGAGGACGTACTTCTTCACACACTGCCTATTGAGGTTCTGGAATACCATGCCTCAGACTGTTGTAGGTACTAAAGGGCAACAACTTTTAAATGCTGTCAGAGACACAATACTAGGATAGATGGACTGTTGGGATGACCTCGTGTAGTATTTCTTATGTCCTTGTGGGACATAGTGAACAGGTGTATGCCCGGTGTCTCTCACATAGGTGTTTGTGTCTTACACCAAATTAAAACTGTAGACTTCTGATTCTAAAGCAAAACAGGAATACCAACTAGCTTTTAATTCCTATAGAACAGAAGTATTCTAACAGTTGAATGTTTTAGTTATATAGGTGAAAGCTAGAGTGAATATCATAGAAATAGAAAAGGCAGTCCTGTAGGTTTATTATAATTACTTACAGTTCCTTTCATTTATGGTTTGCCTGCATGAGTTAATTCCAGTTAAGAACCCACTGTTTCATGTAAGGGTATACTTGCCCATTTCTAAGCTCAGATTGTTAGGTCTTCCTCCTAACCTCCTTGAGATCATCTCCTCTGCTAACTTCTCTGGACAAGGGAAAATAAAAAGAGGGGTCGTTAATAGAACTAATGTAGTTTAGCTAATTAAAATACCAACAAAAGTTGGCAAGGTCATAAGTTGACACCTCATAGCTGATCCGGTTGAAACTTTGGTGTGAAGGTCAGTTTCACCTCAGCCAAGCAGATGTGTGGATGAAGGTTGACTTCCTAAATGGCAAGTTTTGCTTACAATGGGTAACACTTGTTTTTAAAAAAATCAACATGAGCGTGCACCCTTTATTTTTAGTCTAGAGAGACCCAGCGCTTTTTTAGTTTAAAAAGGACAAATTGAGCGTACTTTGCATTGCTGAGGGCAGTGGCTCCCAGTCTGCTTGTAGCTAAGCATTACTTGAAAAAAAGCAGCTGTGTTTCAGGCCTTGTGGATCCAGCTGGGGTCTTCCAGAGTTCAATTAACTTTAGTTCTGTGCTCCAGCTTTTCAGTCATGTGCTTGCGCCATGCCACTGAGACCTGCCCCACTCATTGGGAACCACCATCTTAGGGATAACTCCTTCTGAGCACATCTGTCTAAGGGCTGGGAAGGTGTCAGTGTTACTGCTCTGGAACATAGTAGATTCTCGCTTCCAGTGCTTGGATATTCCTTGCTTCCTTCTCAGATCCGGGAGCTGGTTCCTGAGTCCCAGGCCTACATGGATCTGTTGGCCTTTGAACGCAAACTAGACCAGACCATTATGCGGAAGCGTGTGGATATTCAGGAAGCGCTGAAGAGGCCAATGAAGGTATGTCATGAAAAATGTTTAGATTGAGTTAGGGGGAAGAAAATAATCCTTGTATTAAATGGTGGAATGATCTTTCCAGTAAAAGTCTGTTAATAGAGATATTTTGAACCAGGTCAGACAAAGCTCCGAAGAATAAGCAGCTGGGGAGCAGCATGCATGGAAAAGTGGTGGAGAAAATTCTGTGCATATTACCAGCTCTAGCTTCTGAAAGCCCTTAATAAGGGCAATAATAGCTTCTGGATAAATAAACACTGTTTTTGCAACTTTGTATTAGAATGATTAAAAAGAAGAACATGAGAGAAGAGGGGTGTGCTGAAGAGATGGATTTAATTTCCTATTAGAATTCAGTCAAAAGCTAAACTTGTGGAATAACAGAACATATAATGGGAAGAATTACTTACAGAAAAATTGTTAAAGATTCTGCAAAAATGTGCACATTTACATAGTCTGTAAAAGGGTGATTCATGTAAGAAAAGAATGGATGACTTTTTCTGCAATTTCTCTTAGATCAAGTCCGGCACTTCACTGTTCATAATATCCTACTGAAATGGTTTTTCCTAAGTTTTCTGAGTCTGTTCAACTGAATCATGGAAGCGTTTAGGTAGGAGGAAACGAAGTCATCTAGTTCAGCCTCCTCAAAACAGGGTTGTCTAGGCCTTGTTGAGTTTTGAAAATCTCTAAGGATGGAAGTTTCACAGCCTCTTTGGGAAATCTGTTCCAATGTTTGGCCATTCTCATTATGAAGAATTTCTTTTCATGCCTTATTTAAGTTCTTTTTACTGTATTGAATGCTCACATTCACTCATATAGCAAATCCTGTAGTATGAAGAGTTTTGTAGCTGTATGGCTACTGTGAAGTAAAGCTGTCATTCTTGTCTGTACCACAGTAATGGGTATCAGCCCAACTAAGAGCAAGATTCCATTCTGTTTGTAACTGTACAGGTATCTGATAAGATGTAAAAGGCTTTTGCCTCTGATGGTTTTCCAATTGATGTATATGAAACAGAAAAAAATTGGAAAAAATTAAGCTCCATTTACATACCTATTTTATAAATAGGAAACCAAAGTGTGGATGGTTTAAATCACAAGTTTGTAGTCAAAAAGTGTTGTATGTAGTAGATTGGATTCTCAGAAGGAATAGTTTGTCTTGGCTTCAAGACAAGACACACCATTGTCTTCAAGACAAAGAACACCATTATTTTAAACCAGCTAGGAACTTTGCCATGTTTAAAAGTAATTGAAGACTTAGACTCACATTCATAAACCTGCAGGAATATGTTTATTCTGTGGTAAACTCTTCAACTAGGGAATTGACCAGTGCATGAGGTTCCAGCTCTAAGCTGTACAATGGAGATATTCAGGGCCTGTAATGGGGAAGAGAAACTGTAGACAGAAAATTCTGTTTCCGTCTAGTGCTGAGCAAACACATTTTAAATATCAGTTACTCAGCTAGTTAACATCTAAAGAATGATCCGACAGATGTTTTTCAAATTCGTATCTAGACTTAGCATGTAGCAGCTGTGGAATTCAAGACCTGTCAAAACAGAGCTAAGCCTAGATGAATTTGAGTCGTTCTGATGTTAAGCATTTTTATTTTATTGTAGTTGGAGCATTGGTAATAGCAATAAAAGTTATCTCTGCTTTTTTGTCTCTTATCAAAGCTCTTGTAATTTTGAAGTATTTGCCTTGAAACAGGGGTTCCCAAGATGGGATTGTAATCCTGGGGAAAATTTAAATTTGTCTGAGGTATGTGATAATATGTAGGGAATATGCAGGACTGCTCAGAATTATCAGTTGTAATTGCAGTTATCATATTGGTCACAGTGATTGAGTTGTAGCTAGAAACAATCTGTTTATGGTCTAGTGTTGCTCAGGCTGCCTTCTTCTGTGTGAAAACTAATTCTGGAGAACTTTTAGGGGGAAATGTTTCAAACACTTTTGATTGAGGACAGTGCAGAAAATATGCTGGGCCTATTGTTCCTGCTTGGATCTTCTGTGAACAGCTGCGCTGTTGAAACAGATGACAGCTGTGGGATTGCTCAAAAAGCAAGGAGACCTTGGGGTTGTGAGATTGGTTGAAGGGGGGAAAATGGCCTTCGCCACCTGCCAGATCACTTTACCACTGTCAGCAACCCCTCTCAGCTACCAGCGTCTCCAGTCTAGATCCTGCCTGGTCTTTTTTCTGCCTGTTGGGTACTAGTGTGTTCTCTCTTCTTCTGTGAGTCCTGTGTTCTTGGACTACATCTATCATGAGAGTCTCAGAATTCCTCATCCACAGAGCAGCATTTGCTGCATACCACTCATCACAAGAGTCCTTGCACTGACTTTATGGAAGGCCCACCTGCTCACACGCTCATAATTCCGGAAGGAACTTTTTAGGAGGGAGTCAGGGAGACAGGGCTGTTTTTGACTGCAGTGTGGCTAGAGGTACCGATATAGCAAGCTCCTTGGGCTGAAGGAAACAGAAACCATATGGCTCAACCCCAGATGAGTAGATGTCATTAAAGATGAATGCATTAATGCAAATCTGGACAGCTAGGGCCATCGTGGACTTTGGGAGTGGGATTTATTTGGCATTGTATTTATTTATATGTAAGCTAGTCACTCTGGGCTCCCTTTATAGTCAAGAGATTTAGTCAGTGAAGGCAGTGAAGTTCAGGGCACAGTTCTTCTCATGCATAAGTAGATATTAAAAAAAATATAGATAAATCATGCCCTAAAAAGTGCCTATTTCTGTCCATTGTCTAAGCCTGAGATAACTGGTCAATTGTGGATGTAAACATAATTTTAATATTGAGATGATTTTCATCCCAAGGCTTGAATCGTGGATCACCTGGCTGAAAGAAGGGCATGTAGTGACCCATCCCACAAGCAAGGCTCCTACTCCAGGTCCTGGCACCACAGATAATAGTTTGGTTTCACCCAAACCAGAGACTGTTATCTAGGGACTGTCACTCTTTCACAGTGAACTGGTGTTGTACATTGAGTTTACCAGACCTGTGTGTAGTTGCAGTTCCTCAAACTAAACGAATCTACTCCCAGGTTCTCCATTTTTAGGTTAAAAAATAGTAGCGTCTGAATACAGTCACAATGCCTCTCTCCCTGCTTTGTAAATTGAGATTCTTTCACCTCTTTCAGGTTTTAAGGTGACTGAGGAATTGCTATTGGATTGTTGGCAGAAGGGAATTTGCATTTTTTTTCTGAAACACTAAGGTTTCTGCCTGGTCCTCTTCTTTCTCAGGCAAGACTGTTTTGATTTTTTGTTTCCTCAGTATGCCTTGTGTCCACAGCACCTCATACCTGAGCTCTGCAGTTCTGTTGTTCTAAGAGACTCTCATCTTTTCCATGTACTACGTTCTAAACTTCGAGTGTCCAAGGGATATCCTTAAGGGCAGAAGAACAAATAATTTGTGGAGGTTTTTGTGTCATACTCTGAACTCTGTCATTGTCATACTCTGTCATCGAGCTCCTGGAATCAAACCTGCACTCACTTCAGTCAACAAATGCAGTAGGTATCATTTACCCCAACTTGAGCAAAGCATTTTATTCATTCTTCATGGGATGTTATGGAGAAAGAGGGAGGGATTACTAAAGATAATTTAAGGTAACTGAGAGCAGTGGCAGCTCTGTCACTTTTTAGCTGTTGTAGATTCCCCTCTGCACTTTCAGGTCTGCAGCACATGGGCAGTGTACTTCCTTCTCTGTGACTGTCATGTTGGTCTTGGTGCTGACTGGGATTAATTGGAAGAATTTCTGCTATAAAATAGTTACCAATTGATTTGAAACATCATTAAGGGTGACGTTTATTATTTTGATAATAACAATCTTACACTCAATGTGATGCAACTGAGAGAAAAGAATCTTAGGATAGGCCAATAACTAGAATTCCCTGTAGGAACAGAAAAGTTCTAGTGTTGCTGCAAAAGACCCTAGTGACATGTCATCTTGATTGTTAAAGCTGGAATGCAGTGTCATTGATACTCAAAATGAACAGTTCAAACTAGAATGATATGCAAAAAAAGAGCTTCTGGAGCAACCTAGGGAAAGGCAGATTCATCTTGTGAATGTCACTCAGCTTGTCTATGCGAACACAAAAAAATTGGGAGGGACTGGGAGTGGCTGCCTTTTTGGTAGAGGGGAAGAAAGGTATCAACATTTAGGCTGAAGGACAATGCTGGCACAAGAACAAATGGGGAAAAGGTGACTGAATAAATATTAGGCTTGAAATTAGAAAGAGGTTGTAATTGTCAGGGAAGCAAAATTGCTGCAAATCAAGGAGGAGAAACAAAGATTTCATTTTTTGAAATTGTATCTTCATGGATTCTGAAAAGCATTACATGATCCCGATCTGTGACGTGGACTTACTGTTGCTGCCAGCTCAGTGACCCTAGGGCCCATTGGTGTACTCCAGCAAGCACTACAGTGGTTTTGATAAGATATTTTAAAGTTCTTCGGGGGAGATGTCTGCGTAAGCCATTTAAAGTAGAAATATGTTGAAGGCAAAACAGAATTTATGGCGGTTTCAATTTAAACAAAACAATTTATCGAGGGAATTTTATTAAGAATTTTCTCTCTTTAATCATCAACCATAAAATTTACAAAATAAAAAAAGCCAAATAGCTTACAGTTTCCCTAGTATGAGGAGATCAGTCCAGCAACAGTTATATCCTCCGATTAGTATGCGGTTATATATTGGGAGGGTTGGGTCATGGCTTGTGGTTGTCTTACCATCTGTAGCCTTAACCTGTATATTGATCTGCAGTCACTCAATCTTTGAGGGTCACCTCAGAGTCAGTGGGCTTTGGATGAGTCCACCTCCTTTTGGACACCCCTGAACTTGGCCCTAGCAGTTCCCAGGTTGTCTTCCCTAGACTGATTTGGGGATTCTTACATGTGTTATTATAGAGAGGACTGAGTTGCCAATGGCACCACACCAATATGTGTTACTGCATTACTGGTTGGCTTGTTGCCTGTATGGTGGCTCACTGTCAGAGACTGTG